ATTAATGCAAACTGCAAACAACAATGCTTGTGGTTTTGTCAATTGAAAGATAAAATGTCCAAAAAAAGGGGTTAACTTACAAAATAAGACTGTAGATTATTTACATGTTTAATATGAAACCATAAACAGTTTTATGGCACTAGGCACTGGCCGCGGCAAATTGTATCTTCAAGCCGAAAGTACAAGTAAGAAGTGGAATTTAACAGCCATTATAAAGCTATTATTTTCATGATAAACTAGGTTTGGGATCTAATAATAATTACCCTAGTAATAAAAAAAGAAGTTGTAAAGGAATAAAAGTGATACAACTTTTATGAGCTAGCTGCTGAGTCAACAGTTCTTGGAAGTACTTGACTTGACACTTGATTGTCTGATAAAATATTAATGGGTTTGAGATTGCTAATGGCATTTTTATTGCATAATTACTCTAGTAATAAATTATGAAAATGTAAACAAACATCTGATAAACCTTTTATGTGCTCCTAACCAACTAGTGATCAATAAAATTATGGCCCATTAATAATTTAAGGACATAGTCTGAAATTTAAGGACAATTCCCGTACATTTCATGGCCAGTAAAAATTTAAGTACAATTCCCGGTTTTCCCGGATTTCCCGGTTGGTAGACACCCTGGATTTCCAACCTGAAGGTGAGTGAGCGTAGCGAATGAACTTCAACCAGGACGTGATTGAGCCATGCGAATACTTATGAAGTTAAGCGGGGCAAAGCCCGCGGGTACAGCTAGTTTAGAATAACCCTGTATATATATATATACGTCTGTGAACGCGATAACTTGAGTAATTTTTGTCCGATTTTGATGAAATTTGGTTTAGAGGTGTAAAGCGGGATAAACTTGAATGAGTTTGCGAACCAGCACGATCGGACCATAAGAACGGGACTTTACGGGGGGTTTTATGGGGTAAAAATTGGTTTTTTTTTCACTTTTTACCCTCAAAACACAAAATTTCCCGATTTCTCTTTAGACATTTTTAAAGAGCTTAAAAAAACAAATAATTTAGTATATAAAAGTATTTTTGTTCAATTATTAGTAACAAAGAAAATTAAAAAAATTGTAAATTTAAAATTCCCATGTTATTCTTATGGAGAATATTGTCAAATGTTGTAGTTTGCTTGTTTATGGATATATTTTGATCAAACTTGGCAAATTTATTTATTTTTTACTAAGCTATCAATATTTTACTCAAAAACACACTTTATTAGTTCCCTTGTAGCAGCAAACCTAGGTACTCGTTAAACCTAATGTTATTAAAATATATTTAACTGAAAATCAATTCAGACAAATGGAAATTCGCTTAGTCGGCAGGTTTGCTGCGGCGGGGGTATTTTAAATTCAATTAAATGTTACGATGTAGAGGTAAATGTAATTTTTGTAGTGGATAAAAGAATGAAAATAAAGGAAATTAGTTTGTAATATATGTCACCAAATTTTCTTTTCTTCAAAAGGCAATGTTTTCTTAAAGTTGGTGAAGTGATATAAGAAGAATACAAGTATACATTAAAATAATAAATAACTATACCAACAATTAATAAAACAACTTATTATTGAAATCTATAATATTAAAACAAAACAGTGTTTTTTTATTTCACGATTCTGAATCAACCACTCGACGGATTTGATTTTCATGATTTTTGTGTTGAAAGAAAGATAATTTTGAGAACTAGGGAATGTCGAAGCCATAATTTTAGTTTAGGGTCCCAGTTTTTTAGTAATTAAGTTTTTTTTTAAAAGCTAAGATTCTAAACTAGCTTTTGGCATAAAATAATTTGCTTAACATAACAGCTGTAAACATTCAGCTTTTGTGTCACAAATTCAGCATTTGGATAAAAATGTAAAGACATACTTAGGGTTGACTTATTTATACTATGTGTAATGCTAATCATTGATACGTTCAATTCTTCTGTAAGAGGATGACAGATTAATTAAATATACATAGTAAAATACTAGGATGTTCAAATTATTTTTTAAAGCAATCTTTGTAATCTTTGATTTGTTTTAGACCAATATAATTTGTTTTAACTAACAGCTGGTTAAATATAAACTATGGAACTATGAGGTTATTTTATTTACTCTTATTTTGTCATTGATTATAGGAAATAAGTAAGATTAGTAGAGATAATTAGACCACAGTTTAAAATAGTTTAGACCAAAATTAATTAAACCACAGTACAAATCGAGGCTCTGTACACGAGTCTTAATAAAAAATGATAAATGCAAATTTTTTTACTGCTCCACTTTTCAAGGAAAGATTAGAAAAATAACAATGTTTACATGTTTAAATTCTTCATGGTAGCTTTTTGTTTACAATTAATGTTTGTCTGCTTTAACTTTGTGTGGATTAGGCCCGGAAATATTGATGTCATAAAAAGAAGATCAAGAATAATCAGGAATCACGATTTTAAATTACCACCACAACCTCAGCCGGGTTTTATACAAAGATAAACAGATGGATGACATAGATTGAACACAACGTCAACATTGACCTAGGATACTGAATTAGACAAACCATCCTTTTATGAAATCGTGTTCTGTTGTGGTTACGTTTGGGGGTGCCTATATCAGCGCCCCCAAACGTGAAAATATCACTATTATTTCAACTATGAATATATTGTAGTTTAAATTAACTAATATGGGAAATTACAATGTACATTTATTCAATGAGGGTAGGTAATTATCAAGGATAGAACTGATAACGGTATGGATAATTCCTGCTACATGTGACCAGTTCTTTTTTTCAAATGAGTGTTATTTGAACCAAACAGCTGTTTCAACACAAACTGTTATTGTTTTCACTTTTTTTTGTTTACACTTATTTATTTAGCAATTAATGCAGTGAAATTGATATAAAGGATATAGTTTTGAAGTTAGGACACCAAAGTTAAATTATGTGTACTGTGAATTTTATTGGATATTATCGTTTTATTTTAGGTTGTTTCTATTCAGACCTACTGGAAATTGTGTATGTATAGTAGTTGTATTGTGGTGATAATAATTATGGAAGAGGCAGGTATGCTATAGAAGGTGGTATCGTTGACTAGATCTATACACTTCTCAATTGACTATTACTCTCTCTACTTAAAATCAGTGTGCGTCTGTGCGAATCGGCTGCAAATCTCATTTCAACGCTTTTCACATGGTAAAAATTGCAGAATTGCTGTTTTATTGTAAAATTATCGGATTTAAAATGCATATCGTATAGGCCTATGATGGAATAAAAACATATTTGGTCACACAACATTTGTTTACAAGATGATTTTTCACATTAAAACTGCAAGAAACTTTGTCTTTATATGTGTAAACTAGCTGATCTGAATTGAAAAAGGTTTTAACTGACTACTGGATTCCCGTACGTAGGACTGGCTAACACCTCTTATTTTTTTATATTTGAACTTAACTTACTGTTATGCATCAGCATAAAACTTATTATTAGAGTCACTAAAGAGGAATGGGCTTGAAGATACTGAGCAAATGCAATCAGTGGTGAAGTATTGCAAGGACAAGCTCATAACACCTTTGCTCCATAACTTCAATTTGAGCTTTAAGCATGGCCATGTCCCTAGCAAGATGAAAATGTCGAAAGTGATCCCCCTTCATAAAGCAGGCAACAGGATAAAGTGGAAAACTATAGGCCGATTTCACTGATCTCAAACTTTTCTAAACTGATTTAAAAGGCTGCAATGCACAGGATAATGGAACATCTTAAACTGAATGACATTGATCTAAGGGAACAACATGGTTTCACACCAAAAAGGTCAACATCTACAGCGCTTGTATGTCTTATTGAGTACATCGTAGACAAACTTGAAGATGGTGATGCTGTTGTGAGTGTTTTCCTTGACTTGAGCAAGGCTTTAGACTGCTCAGCCATGACCTAATATTAAAGAATCTTTGTGCTCTCAGTTTTAAAGAAAAATATTTTTTGTGGTTTGCAAGTTACCTGAAAGAAAGAGAACAGGTAGTGGAGATAAGGCAAAATTGAAATGGATTTATTTCTTTGACAAGTTTGACAAGTACCTAGGTTTGCTGCTACAGTGAAGGTAATAAATTGTTTTTATATTTAAATGTTAATAGTATAATATAAAATAAATAAATGTTTTAGATTTGATCAAAATATGTTTATAAACAAAACTACTCGTACAATGGTTTTGAAAAATTGTTACACGTGTAAAAAAATTTTGTAAGTTCAACTTGTCTGCTTATATATTTTGTGAGTGTTCGTGTGTGTGTGCCGTGGACCCAGGACAGCGGGTCCATGTCCCCATAGTGTTCATCATACTGGCTGACTTATAACTCCCCCCTCACCCTCCTCCCAGCATCCACTATCAACTGCCGACTACCTCTCGCTCCCTAGTTGTTGGTCAAAAAAAAAAAAAAATTTAAAAGGGTACTTAATGTTTTATAATGTATTCAATTATATTTATAGTAGCCTTAATCACAGTAATATCCAATATAAATAGATAAATATGTATATGATTTTCAACGAATGGTGTTTTTGGCCTCTGGGGACCTCAAAACGAAAAAGTAAATCAGTCCTGGGTCCAGGTTTTATCATGAGACCTAAGGTAATGACTTATTCCCTATGGTTTATTTGCTAATAATAAGCAAACTTATTTTTAAAATCAGCTATTCAGCTATTATTGAAGAACTAGTAGAGTATCCGTCATTCTTTAATTCCCTTTAAATATGAATACTCATAAGGTTACCATGGGGAACTACAGAGCCACTGGGGCGGAGCCCGATAGGATTTTTGAGATAAGAATAAGCCTATGTTAATCAACTATGTGAGCAATCATCATGCCAAATTTCAGCCCAATCCGTCCAGTGGTTTATGCGTGATTGAACTTCAAACAAACAAACACACAAACTTTCACATTTATAATATAAGTAAGTTAAGACATTACATAAATCATAGAGATTTTCAGTTTAATGTGTGATATTTATATAATTCAAAGCTAAGTTTCCATAAATTGTAATGGACTACCTGAAGAATCTGAAGAATATCAGCAAGCATTTGAGTATCCTTCTTATGAGGGCTACAGTGAGCAAACTTATCCCTTGCATCAGTCCAGGCCCCAGCTTTGAGGCAAGCCTTGCCCCAGGCCAGCCATACACTGTTGTAGTCCAGGCCAGCTTTGGTAGACACCTACAAACATCAGAATAGAGTAACCCTCCGAGTGTCCATAGTTTAGGCCTTAATGTCCACCTATTTTTGGCCCCTTTGCAAGGTTTTATTAAAACGGATCTGAGAAGCTTAAAACAATGTTAATTCTAATGTTCTATATACCATTTTGTTTGGAAAATCATGGGCTTCAATATTATATATAAAACATAAGGAACATTTTTTCAAAAAAAAAAATTTTTAGGTAAAAAAAAAATATAATTTCGAAAATTTTCAAAAAAAAAAATAAGTTCGCGCTCAATGAAATTGTATAAATTATAGGCCTATAAATATTTGAAAATAGCCACTTTGTTCTAAATTTAATGAGGATTACAAATATATAATCATATAGCGAGGTAAGTTATCAAATAAATAAGTTATGAGCGAAAAACGGATTTCAGTACATAGCGTTTAGCTAAGAATGCATAGCCTAACCATAGCTAGGAATCTGGCTGATAATTTACATCAATATCACTACCTACTTCTTCAGGATCATCAACCAGCACTTCAAAACCACTTAAATCTTCTTATAATGCACCACGTATATCACTACTTTTGATTTTTAACACTAAAACAATGATAAACGTAATAAAACACATCAGTCATCGGTCCGGGGGAACCTAGCTGTTTACAAATACACGCACGTCAGCTGTCTGCTACAATATTTTCGGAACTAAAATGAATAGCGCTTAGAGACAGACCTCTGGAGAAAGCTTAGAATAAAACGGAAAGAACGATACCTAACTCGATCCAGTTCAATCCGATTCAGTCAGTCATAGAGCCTTCGCCGTAAACGATGTTTGTGCGTCATAAAAGTGACGCGTGACCCTACACAAAGTGTGTTGTGCGTCATTTTTATGACGCGTGACACTCGGAGGGCTAAACATTGGGTTGTGAGGAATGTGTTGGCAATGTTGGCAGTAAAGGTTATTTACAATTTTGCTTGGGGATTTCTGTGAAATTTATTTAATGATCCATAAGTAAATAAAGTAAGTAAAATTTGCCTGCTTGGATTATCACTAAAATAATTCCTTGTCAAATTTATTCCCATTCAAACAACCAATTAGGTTAACGAGTACTTAAGTAAATCATATAGTTACAGTATAACTGACATCAGCACCTCTTTATTACACCATAGTTAGTTGCTAAGGAAATTGTAACCACCTACATGAATCAAAAGAAAATATTTTCTTCGGTAAAGAATAATGGATATGTATTATATAGCAAATCTAAAGAACCACTTTATATTCATCCGTGTCTTCTTCCTGTTGCAAAACATCTGTATAGCAAGTAAGCAAGTAGCTTGTCATAAATAAACAATGTTTAAAGAAGGGCTACTAGCGTTAACAGAACTAGTTTACAGTACTAAAAATACTGCAGTAGGTAGCATTTACTTAGTCTTTTCTGTTGATTATACTACCTTAACCTAATTGGAAAATGGGAGTGCACACAGTATTTTTTTTCAGTTCTTGCCAAAACTATTTTCTCTATCTGTAACCATTTTTTCAGATCGTCTTAAAAAAGTACTGTAAAAAAAGGCATGAAAATGATGACACCCTATAATTATGATCTATTGTTAGACTGATGACACCCTGTATGATCACATCATTACATATGGTCATGAAGTATGGTTAGACTATAGTCATGAAGTATGGTTAGACTCACCTCAAATGCAAGGGTCCACAACTCTGACCTGAGCAGGTTCTCTCGCAGTGAGGCTAGAGCACTCTGACCACGTAGCGGCTCTGTTGGCAACAGTGCACAAGTCTGGGGTGAGGCTACCAACATACCCAGCAAGTCTACCTCAGCAAAGAGCCCATCCACAGTGGCCCAGTCGGATGAGCTACCATACTGTGAACAACTCAGCTTGGCAAACTCCATCAATGACCTGTAATTCAATATATTGTTAGCTTAACAACACAGTTAAATAACTTGTACAGTTACTATAACTATGGGGTGCACAGAAGGAGCCTCCCCGAAGATTGTGACCACTACACTGTGAGGAAGTTTACTCCAGAGCACTAGGCCTTATCAAGGGTGGTAAGGGTCGATAAGTGAAAGACTCTGGGTATCTCAAACTTCCATTTTATTCCCTGATATCCTTAACCTAACACATATGTTTATATATACAATATTATCTACAGTCTTGATCCTGGGTCCGTAGTCCTCCTACCAGGCAGTGTCTCCGGGCTCGTATTCAGGGGTTGGGCAGAGGTTGGATCAAGTCTTGCTTGCGCCCTTACTGGCTCGGTGGTCTACGACACTCCTAAAAGATATCCGTGTGGGTCCGCGGTCTAGATCCTTGGCACCTTCACCCCGGAATCCTCGGTCCCCTAGCTGGTGCTCTCCACTGGAGACGGTTCTGGCTTTCCAAGCACAGAAGTCAATCTGGGCCGGTTTAATGTGCTACTGCTCTCCACTGGAGACGATTCTGGCGTCACTTGCTCAGAAGTTAGCACTCTCTAGGCAGTCTACTCGGTCTGCAGTCCGACGTAAACTCCTTCAACACTTAGCGTATACCTATGTATATGCTTTAAAGGTGGTGGGGGACTCCAAAGTCCTCCCCTCCACCTACGACTACGGACCCGCGGGCTCAACACGCCCATGCGAGGGTGTCGGTGGCTCAACACGCCCATCCGACAGTGCTGGTGGCTCAACACGCCCGTCCAGCGGTACCCGTGGCTCAACACGCCCATCAGGTGTCCCGCGGACTCAACACGCCCATGCGGGTAGTAGGGGGCTCAACACGCCCATCCGACGGTGCTGGTGGCTCAACACGCCCATCCAGCGGTACCCGTGGCTCAACACGCCCATCAGGTAACTCGCGGGCTCAACACGCCCATGCGAGGGTGCCGGGGGCTCAACACGCCCGTCCGACGGTGCCAGGGGCTCAACACGCCCATCCAGCGTACCCGTGGCTCAACACGCCCATCAGGTGTCTCGCGGGCTCAACACGCCCATGCGAGGGTGCCGGGGGCTCACCACGCCCGTCCGACGGTGCCGGGGGCTCAACACGCCCGTCCAGCGTACCTGTGGCTCAGCACGCCCATCAGGTGTCTCGCGGGCTCAACACGCCCATGCGAGGGTGCCGGGGGCTCAACACGCCCGTCCAGCGTACCCGTGGCTCAACACGCCCGTCAGGTAGCTCGCGGGCTCAACACGCCCATGCGAGGGTGTCGGGGGCTCAACACGCCCGTCCGACGGTGCCGGGGGCTCAACACGCCCGTCCAGCGTACCTGTGGCTCAGCACGCCCATCAGGTGTCTCGCGGGCTCAACACGCCCATGCGAGAGTGCCGGGGGCTCAACACGCCCGTCCAGCGTACCCGTGGCTCAGCACGCCCATCAGGTGTCTCGCGGGCTCAACACGCCCATCAGGCCCCACACCGGTGGCTCAGCACGCCCATCCGGCGGGGTGAGGCCCAACTGACTTCTCGGTGCCAAACACCCTGGTTAAGTACCCGCCGAATGGTACCCAAGTGGTGGGGGTAGAGTACCTTACCTCCCCTTCGGAGCATCTTTCCCCTCCTTAGGAGTCATTTTTGTGTCTCCGAGTACTTTTGTACCTTTAACCTCAGAATTCTCTAGGGAGTCAAAAACACTTCTTTACAACACGCTAAGAACCACATCACAATCGGGCGCACCCCGGGCAACGCTGACATCTCAGCGGCAAATCCTTCTACAACCGGAAGACTTTGAAAAATGAATCTGCCTAAACGGTCTTTTTCAAGGCCATTAGTAACGATCTCGATTAATATCGAGGGAATATCGAGAGACAAAGAAATATTACTGTCTGATATGTGCAAGACGTACGAATGCGACTTCCTCCTTGTGCAAGAAACACACCGGGGCATTTTAAAACCTAGACCCAACATAGAGGGAATGAGACTGATTCTAGAGAGACCTCATGATCAATATGGTAGCGCTGTTTTCGCCAGGCCATACATTGGCATCACTTCAGCTTCACTGACTGAGAGGAACAATACTGAGATACTAACGGTCAGGACACCATAGTACAGTGTCACCTCTTTGTATAAGCCTCCCGAATCTCAGTATGTATTTACAGAGCCCGATAATCTATGCTATGATGACATTAATTTCGTCTTGGGGGGTTTTAATTGTCAGAGCATTGCTTGGGGATACAAAGAGACAAGTGAAAATGGGACAAAACTTGAAACCTGGGCTGAGGCAAATGACCTGCAGCTCATACACGATCCTAAGATCCCTAGCTCCTTTAACAGCGGTAGATGGAAGAGAGGTTATATAACCCTTACAACATCTTTGTGAGCAGCAGGATTGCCTCACAGTGTGAAAAGTCTGTAGGTGATCCGATTCCCCGAACTCAACACAGACCTATAGTATGCACCCTTAGTGCTGTTGTTAAACCTGAAGTTGTTTCTCTAAGGCGCAGGTTAAATTTCAAAAAGGCCAACTGGACGGGTTTTATGGAGATCATTGACAGAGAAATCGCTAATATCCCTCAACAACCTGATATGTATGACTCCTTTGTCAAGCTTGTCCAGCAGGTTTCGAGAAAAATGATACCTAAAGGCTTTTTTTTTAACCCATTACATCGCAGTACTCTCTGAAGAGGCAAAGCCACTGCTAGAACGATACCAAGGCCTCATTGACAATGATCCCTTTGCTGAGGACACACTTCTAGCAGGTGAAGAGCTTATGTCAGTCATTGCCAAAAATCGCAAAACTAAGTGGTGTGATCTTGTGGAGAGTTTAGATATGCAGGTGAACAACAGATGGGCCTGGAAGTTCCTCAAGAACATAAATGGAGATGCGACAAAACCAAAAGACAACTTTACAACAGTTACTGCCGATCAAGTCGCTACCAACCTTCTTTTAAATGGCAAAACCTATGGAAGGAAATACCAGGAGCCTGTTGTGCATGATGTGGCAAGTGAGAATCACTTCCTGGAAGAACCGTTCACCATGTCCGAGCTTACTGCAGTCATTACCAGCTTAAAGACTAATAGAGCTCCAGGTATTGACGAGATCAGAGTCGAACAACTAAAGAACCTAGGTAAAAAAAAAAAATGCCATGCAATGGTTGTTGAGCCTCATGAACATCTGCGTAAGCCAAATGCATATACCCAAGGCATGGAGAAAAGCTCGTGTGGCTGCACTGCTCAAACCTGGGAAAGATCCAAATGATCCTAAAAACTTTCGACCTGTTTTTTATGCCACACATATAAAATCTTAGAACGTCTGATACTCAATCGAATCAGCGATTTTCTGGAACAAAAGATCATTCCACAACAGGCAGGCTTTCGATCAGGCAAGTCTTGTTGTGGCCAAGTTTTAAACCTGACCCAGCACATTGAGGATGGGTTGGAGAGAAAACAAATCACGGGTGTCGCTTTTGTAGATTTAACAGCTGCCTACGATACCGTAAACCATCGAAGACTCTTGGGTAAAGTGTACAGCATTACCAAAGACTATCAGCTGACTTCAATGATAAGCACCTTTCTTCATAACAGGCGGTTTTTTGTGTCCCTTCAAGGCAAGAAAAGTAGATGGAGGAATCAGAGAAATGGATTGCCTCAGGGTAGCGTCTTAGCCCCAGCTCTTCATAACATATACACTAACGACCAACCGTTGCCAAACGCTACACGTCAGTATAGGCTATATATGCCGATGATACGGCGGTGGCGGCACAATGTAGGAGTTTTGAAGAGGTGGAACAGAAGCTGACTATGACTCTTAATGAACTTTCCCAGTACTATGACGCAAATCACCTCAAGCCGAACCCTGCTAAGACCCAAGTTTGTGCCTTTCACCTAAACAATAGAGAAGCAGGCCGTGAGTTGAATGTGAGGTGGCGGGGAGACCGTCTTCAGCATTGTCCTACACCCAAATATCTTGGTGTCAAATATATATACTGTTTTGTTTTAAGTATTCTTATATTAATTTTTAATTTTAATGCACTCTAATAATATGCAACTGATTTCACCACAATCTCCATTAAACACCATTTCAAATAGTTAAATGTTTTCCTCATAGAGTGCATCAGTATCTTCAAATCCCAATGGTTTCAAGACTAGCTCTCTGATTGGTCACTGATATGTATCACATGACCAACTCCTTCCTTCAGTAGAGTAGTGGCTCACTCTTGGGCAAGTCCTGTTGCTATGAGGACTTAACATGCCTTTTCTCCTACATTTTCAAATACCATAAACCTCTTTACCAACATAAATATTTACCGCTGGCTTATAACTTATTATAAAGACAATTGAAGTGTTTTTTAACATCATATAGTGTGAAAAAGTGAACTTATCAACATTATAGCATTTCAGGATTCATCAAAGGGGGCCCCCAGTCTACGCATCAGTTTAATAACAAAAGGTTAGTGTATCCAATTCAAAATTACTATAATACAGTCCACATTGCTTTCTAATTAACATAAATTCCCCACATTTTTGGTACTTCAAGCCGGACGGATAAACTCAGTGCGTTGGAAATATTTAAAGAATTGTTAAGATTTTAATTTCATTGTGAAATACATTTTTTATTTCATTACAAACACATTTTTATAATTTGTGAACATTTATTAAATAAGCCAGTGTTGTTTTATTGATTTTTTTAAATCATAGGACATTGTACTATATATTTTCAAAATCAAACATATTTAAGTTTGATGATTTTTCATATTTCATTTCCAAACATGCACAAAAGTGAAAGTCTAGTTTCATGTCCAATTTTAAATATTCATGATTATATCTCAGCCATTTCATGAGCCTTATCTCTAGCAGACATACCCCCCTTCCCCTCTCAGTATTCTGTTTGCATTCCAGGATATTCATTGTGTAGCCAGAAATAATTATCCTTCCTTTCCTTGTTCTGATTATCTACAAATGTTATTGATTCTCATCTATCAC